CCCCCCCCCCCCCGTGAAATGCTCGCTCTCGCGGCCACTTCCCCCGTGTCTACATACTCTGTTCATGTTGTGTGGTGCTCATTATCCGCGTGCGTGTGGGAGGGCCGTCTTCGTGAATGGGAATCACAACCAACCGCCGACCAGTGCTGTTGTACAAATGCTGCACAACAGGCGTACGGCATTGATTGGGCGGGGGAGTACGGCGTCTACAAGAGCTGGGAGAACACCCCGGAGCAGCGGGAAGAGATGCTGGCCTACGACAAGATCGTCGGCTTCAACCAGTGCAGCGGGGAGTGATGGCACCGGAATCTTCTTGTACGCTCTACCCCCCAACGCTGGTTGCGTTCTTATGCTGTGGGTTCTCTTGACCAGCAGTGACTACAGGCAGACTTTTAATTTACGTTTCTCTCATTATTGTGCGTGGAAACAGCAGTTCAGAAGTCGTTTCTACGCGAACGCGCACACGTGTAGGCACAGCACAAATGTGGCAGTCAAGCAGTGCTCGTGTTGTTGCTGCTGTGTCGTAGGAGCGCCCTGAGGCTGCGTTCTTGTACGCACTTGCGCGGCAGATTTGAACCGTTTGCCGTTTACACGGTCGTTGCATTTTAGGTGCCGTCTACACGTCGAGGGGGAAAACAATATTTGTTTTTGGAAATAACTTACGCGCTCGCAGAATGCCGTGGTGTACGTTCTCAATATTGTGCAGATGTGGTACATGCTGGTACGGGGACAATGGGAGGAGCAGGGTCGGTCTGTAGCATAAACGTTGTAGGCTGTCGAGGCTGGTGGTGTTTGATAGGATTGGTCGTCAATTACGTCGGTGGGCATCTAGCTTACCCCCTTGGGAGGCAACACACGTTGAAACTCGATGCCGCGACAGTACAGTAGTAAGTAGTGTTGAGTGTCCTACATAACTGTATGTGATAAGAAGCCGCTGTGAAAACAAGTATTTGGCGGCGGTTTAGAAAATTTTGAAATCATTCTTTTTGTTGCTGCAATAGCAACGTGTTGGTGCGGTAGTGCATGTCGGGGGGGCGGCAGTAGATGCAGAGCAATACCGCCGTGGTGTCTTGATTTCTTTGGAACAGATCATCACCGCCTGCCTGCGATTTTCTGATGTTTAGTTTTGTCGAAGAGCTCGTGGTGTGACGGTGCCTGTGGGTGCCTGCCTGTGGGCACGTACTGTTTGGGGGGGGTGGGGGGGTGGGGGGGCGTATTCTTACGTTTTGCATGCCTTAGCGGTTAGACCATTGACCACGCGTCCTCGAGAGAACGGGGCATTGTTCCCACAGGACCGATCACCGATGGCCAACCGTTCCTTTCTACTTCGCCAAAGGTGGCTCAATAATGTATTCCCTACAGTGGTCTGTCTATCCTGACGATATCCCTTCCCGCCTTTTCAACCCACCTCCTATGCCCCAGTACAGCTACCGTCCTTTCCTCTTTATTCCATGCCTCAAACATCTCCCTGTACGTCCCCTCCATTTTTCCCAGCTCAGTCACGTACAGGGGGTGGGGGAGTGGGGGGGGTGTACTCATAGTATTGCATGCCCTAGTGGTTAGACCATTGACCTCGCATCCCTACAACGCCGGGACGAAGCACGCCGGGTTCTCACCGGACCAGGCTCTCACATCACCAAGCGCGAAGCGCCGTGAGATATTCGGCGAGTCGCATGAAGGG